CCAAATTCCAACAACTTTCTCCATATGCTTTCCCAGCTGCTTTCTCAGTATCATAGCTTTAGCATTTTTCTCAGTATCTTTTACCGGCACTTTTCACAGTATTGTTGCTCCAGCAACTTTTTTTTTCTATCCGTTCTCACCAGCTTTCCCAGTAACCCTTATCAGCACCTTTTTGAGTATATTGTTCTCTAATACCTTTCTCAGTATTTATTATCAGTTTCTCTCCATAGAATGTCCAGGTCGTTGAATGGAAAAAGATAAATCGGAGAACGCAGTTCCAATTTTATTCCGGTTTGTTACATTTAGTTATGTGCAAATACTCCTCTCCTCTCCCAGCTATAGGTTAAATAGTAGGATTTGTATCCGGAAAATAGTTGTTATTTTTCTCAAACGTTGATAATGCAATAATCATTGCAAAAAATTATTCGTACAATCCAAATTATATTTCAGCTTTATATAACCCACTGATTGTCAATTCACAATCATTTGTATGGTTCTTAGCTTATTATTAATACAGTAATTTTTATTTTTAGCCTCTAAGCCCACGGATGTCCTTCGTGATCAACTGAAAGCAGCCATGAAAACCAAGCACCCAGCAAGTCTGGAGAGAGCTATTGCCGAAGCTGAAGCATCCAAAGATCCTCAGCTTATGGCAGAGGTGCAAAGTGCTAAGAAGATGCTAGATGCAGTTTGGCCTGCTCGCGCTGGTAAGAGATTCTTAATTATTAATTAAAAAATATATTTGTAGTCAACAACATTACGCTATCTTTATAATCCTTGTCCGCTTACCAATTTCAACAATTTCGTGATATTGAAAAATCCCTTGACAAATATACTGAATCGAAACTGGAATAATTATTTATGGTGGAATACACAATAGCTGAAATGTGTCTTAACACCATAAAAAACTAGGGATGTTTTAACGGTTAAATAATATTACTACGAATTTATATATAGGTTTGCTTTTTGTTTTTTTTTTGTTAAAAAATGCTGGAAACACATACATCAATCTATTATGTTATACAAAATTTATCGGACAAATTCCAGGGAAAGTAATAATGGTAGGGATTTATTTGAATAATATATTTCTTTAAAAATATTTGAAACAATGTATTCAATTCATACGAGAATGTGCTGAAAAGTTCACGACACAGTCAAAAAAACCTTCCCCTAAAAAAAAATGTCGGAATTTTAGTCATTTCGTCCGGTTTCGGAACAAAAACTTTTCAGCACTCCTGTAGAATGGAATGCATAATGTAGCTGAACTGCTGGTGTAAAGTCTTTGAAAGGCTTGGAATAGAATTTGATGAATGAATAATGAATATATGAATGAAAGATGTGTACAACGTCACACTATCTTTAGTTCGAGGATACTTAAACGGATTTGAATGACGTCAGTAATCAATTCGAACCAATCAGAAACATAATACCCCTTTTATAACCAATCAGGAAAGTGAAAAACGTTATTATCCTTTTCCCCAAAAATTGTAAACGTTTTTGAAAGCTAATCAGTGTTTATAAATAAGTATGCCTTCAGCTTCATTTTTAGTAATCGAACTTTTTTTTTGTTATTAAAATGGACTTATTATTTTTGCAATATGTGCAGTGTTACGAAATGTTTTACAAAATTACCATTTAATTCAACATTTTTCGAGCAGATTTTCTTGACGGCATCTCAAAATCAAGAATTATAAAATGAACTATAATTAATAATAAAATGATGATAGTATATAAGCAACAAGTAAGATCATTAATTATGAAATGGACTTTATGGGAATATATCTCATGATAGAGTAAAGCTAATAATAAAAATAATAATGAAATAATTGCTAATTAGTAAGTGTTAGGAAAGTGTTACGAATGTATTGCTTTTGTTTCTTTTTGGTTTAGTATAGTTTTCTTTTCCTACATTTTTACTTTTAAATGTTTTAAACGTAGAATTATTTGATGCATATGAAAACAGTGTTAAGTGTATATATAAAAATCCCCAGAATCTGTACTCATGTAGAAACTGTAAGCAATATACATTTTGACAGGGCAGGTAAATTATTATAATATTAATGAAAATGATTTATCTAAAAATAACAAAAATAAATTGGTGTAATAAAATAATAACATGGAAAATTTTTCATCTTAAAACAACATTACGAAGGTGGAATAAAATTATTAATAAAATAATAATAGTGAAAGCTTATCTAAAAGCAACAATAACATAAAATGACAATGACATAAAAGTATTAATAAAATAATAATGAAAACGCTTAATTAAAAAAAAAATAACAATAAAACTAGTAATACAATCATCTTCATGTACCGTGTTCTTTCAGAACGTAGGCGGTCATGGCTCTCTATAATTTCCTGTCCTTTATAGCTCTTAATAAATTTTGTATTTCGATATTTAACCTAAAGCCTGTTTCACCATACATTTATTCATGCTTATTAAGTATGTTATGCGTCGTTTTCCTCTGTCCTTCTTGGCCCCTATGTGTCCTGGGATTATCAGATTTATCAAGCCCTCCTACCTCATTATATGCCCCAGAAATTTCAACTGTCACTTCCTGGTGTCAAGTATAAGTTTCCTTAACGATGGAAAATCTGAAATGTAACTGAATAATTTTATAAGATTTCATGTTTAATTTTTGCAGGTACTCCTGAAGAAGTGAAAAATCTGCGTGCCAGTAAGTATCATATTCTTTACTTTATTTATCTCTAGCTTTGTGAAAATATTTACCATATTAAATCTAAACCGAACTTATACAGTGTCACAAAGACCGAATACTCGGTAAAAATGAAATAGTATAAGCGAGAATAAATTGTTATCCATTACTCTGTGAAATTATCGAATGTGTAAATATAACTTTTTCTGGAACAAGGTCAATTCAAGCTGATCACTAGGCTTCTAGTACTGAAGGATAGGGACACCATAGCCTGTTATTTCAGAGATTACAATTATTTATTCTTGAAACGAAAACAATTTGTATATGTACGATTTTCTCGTCTGTATTGAGTTAAATAGTAGGGTAGGCAGGGCTCTCTAGCCTTGGATGGAAGTCATTTTAAGAAAAAGACAACTCCGAATACAAAACTGTGGAACTGGCAACGGAAACATACTTTACGAAGACATGGCATTTCACACATGTTAAAGCAAAGGGAGGTGTGAAGTGCCTTAACTGTCTTTAAAAATTATTAGATATTCTATTAATGGTTATATTTACTTATCGTCATAGCCTCTTATTTCATTGACAGCATTTACTATTTGAAAAATTCTCTCGATATAAGTACCCGTTTAGTCATCCAGTCATTGTGTTGCAGTGCACAGTGAATTGGCAGATGTTGATGAAAACATCACAATCATGATTGATGCGCGTGGCGTAATGGATAGCAGCTCCTAAAGAGAAATCCGAGTTCGAATTCCAATCGAGTTTGTTAAATTAACTTACGTGAAAATACCCTTGGGAAAGGCAGGAATCTATCTCTTCAGCTATGGGTAAATAGCAAGACTAACTTGGTACTATAGCCTTGGTTGGCAATCAATCTAGGAGAAAAAAAATTCTGAACACTCTCATGAAGAGTGTTAAGCTCCGTCAGAATATCTTGTTCAAGACACACTACTGTTTCTACGGTGGCAGTATATTGTGGCCCTACGACTCTAATGGGGTTACTGGACACATTATCATGATCATGATTATAAAATTTAAATTCGTTAGAGATATTGATTCCATTTTAAGTAAAAAGAGACAAATTGTATCTCTTTAACTAAGGAAATATGTCAAAAAGTTGTATTTGTCTTCTGCAGAACTGGAGAGCGCCATGAGACGCGATGACGCAGTTGAGATGCAGAAAATTATGATGGAAATTGAGCAGAAGAACTTGTCTGATTACCTTACTGTTGAAGTGGGCGACGCTCGGAGTAGACTCCAAGGTCAAGCCCAACCGGACCCAGAAGGGCATTTCGCCCGCACTGATGCCAGCGTGGATGTAAGAAGCGCTTCAAGATTTGGACAATATTCCCAATATGGAACCATGTCACATGACCTCCTGATTGCGGCCCTGGTCGTAATTGGTGAAAATGAAAGACGCCTCGGGGTAAGAAATACAGCACTTTAACTTTTCTTTCATCAATTCACAATGTTAATTGCTTAATGACGATTATAAGTAAATAAGAAAATTTGCAATTGATCTTTGTTGGAGTCACATTTTTAATAATTTTGCTGTTTTCGTATCTCGTAGTTTCCCCAGCTTTCCTTTTCTTCAAAGCCCATATTAAAAGTAAAAAGTTATTGGTTTCATCAGGCCATCGATGCAACATTATTATTATCATTATTGATTGAGAGTAGCACGCCAACAAAATGAAACTGACATACAAATATGCCGATCATAACACAATTTAACAAAAGTATACTAGACACTTGCTTCATAATCAAATATGCACAGCATAATGACAGGTTTTGATAAAAGGAGCGCATAAATTTACAGGTGTAGTGCAGTTCAAAATATCTTCAGGTCGGGTAACACAGGCCTCTCAAACGGTCTCCGATTGAGAGTATTCCTAAGTACCTTATTATGATTTCCAAGCCGCCTTGACACTTTCATCCTTCAAACTTAAAAAACAAACAAACAAAAAAAACAGAAAACCTCTCGACAAACGGCTATGATTCTCCTGAACTAATTCTGCTCATAAACAGTGCTGCAGTCATTAGAAAACATGTCCAACAGATTATGGTCAGACAATTGACAAGCAAATCTAATCTGTGTTACGGAACAAGATATTTAGTTTCACCCGTTAAATTCACCAAGATAAAACATATATATGTTAACATTTCTAATCAATTAATGTCAGCAACCACGAGAGCTATTCCAGCTGTAGCATACAGAAATGTATTACTATTATTGTTATTATTGCTTATGTATTGAGCAGAGTGTTTAAGTGGACTTATTCTATGGTCTTATGTAAATATATGATCCGTATGAAATTTTAGGCTGTCCTTATCATTTCAATCAGCCATATTACGTCGAAATACCAGTTCCCGTCTGATCACTGTAGTTAAGAAGCAGCTTTGGGCCTGGTCAGTACCAAGATGGCTAACCGTTTGGGAATATCAGATGCTGTAAGCTGCTACCAATACAAAACGGTCAGCCCGGTAGGGTAATGGCTCATACCTCCCTATGAACGGCAAAGAATGAAAAATGTGGGGAAGGCGTATGCCTAACAAAGGCTGATTTGGAACTTATTCTTTGCCGATTCATTCACCTGTCTTTTTTAGTAATCCAATCCAATGAAAGGAGGAAGTCTATTATATTTTATTTATTTAATTAATTATTTCAGAAACCCTGTTTATTGTTTCAAGGACTTTTATGAATGTTTTCTCTTTATTATAGAAAATTGGAAAATAGAAGAAAAAATAATGGTAGTTTCAGTGACTGATTTTTTCTTGAATGTTTTTCAACAGTAAAAAGGAGATTGCTATATTACTATGGCAATAGTTAATATCAATGTTTTAGGGTAATACATCTTTCTTCTTATGATTACCTGTATATATCTGTGAAACGGATGTAGCAAAACAGAAAAAAACACGGTAGCAAATATCGACAAGTTGTTTGACATTTTTCTGTCTAATTGTCTAGACACCAACATTAGTTTACTATTAATATGTAGGCTGGAATTGTAGGTGATTGGCTGGTAAGTCTATATGTTCTCCCAGCACGTCTTACAGGAGCTGTCTACAGGTACATTATTTCGAACACACTTTCAGATCTGCTACATGTTTTATCCCTGCTAATACGAAGACGAATGGGCTTCATACATGATGGGGCTCCAGATAGAATTACAAAAAGACATACAAATCTATATATTATAGTAGAAGATTTATTTAATTAGCCGAGCGAATCTTTTGACCAACGCAACACATTTATTTATTACTATAAACTTTATTTAGTAGGTACACCTGTTTGAGCAGGGAACACTATCTTTTTTAAACAAATTAGTCTGCTGATCTAGAGATAAACAAAATGAGCTTCCGACAGGAATCGAACCTGCATTCCTTTTTAATCTGAGAAATCTCTTGCAAGCACTGCTTGTGTTATCATTAAGCTTGAGGTCATTACAGCAAATCAAAGCTTGATTATTCTATTCAAAATCTTCATTTTGTAAGTTGACGTTAACGAATGACCATCCGTAATTACCATTGTTTAACTCCGCTCACAATTTTAAGCAAGTCTCACTGAAGTACACTCTTTCATGTTAGAATACATTTTTCCGATGGCTGTTTCTTAAAACTTAGACGGCTTTAGTCTGTTGAAAATTCTTTAAAGCAAAAGGATTTAATCAAAGATTTATTTTCAAGAAATGTTTAGACTATTTATATTATGTGTAATAGAGTCAAAAAGTTATCTCGGGTATTGGCCGTAAGGTTCGATCCCTGCTCCGAAACCACAAACATTTTCCTCTGTCCTCATGGCTCAAACATTATGAAATAGATATCTTTACTCTCCTCTTTATTGTCTTTGTTTATCCCACTCAGTATGAATATTCATCAGGTTCAATACAGAAATGGTACTATGTTTGACATAACTCGTAAATATTTTATTGTATCTACCTAGCAGTTGACACCCAGAAAACGTGAATTTCAAAGTTTCTGTAACGGTTCCGGGTTACAAATCTAGTATTCATAATGCCTTTCTCACAGTATCTCGTGATATTTCTCTATTTATTAACATTTTCTCCGTTTTTACCAGTTAAAAAAATTGGATTCACTACTCATTTGATGACTTTAAATAAAAATGTAAAAATATTCTTTTATTTGGCACAGAACTGGAAGAGCTACCAGCATTTCTTTGAAATGACACAGGCCGATAGCTCCACACGACGCGTTCTCGGTTTAGATATCGAACATATCTACCAAGATCTGGCGGCTAGAGCTGATGAGATCTTGACCCGCCATTCAACTGATGAAGTCCACTTGATGAATCGAAGTGGACATATGGCTTATACATGGGTAAATACATTTTCTTATAATCGAATTTATTGCTTTTGTAAATGGACGTTTAATTTTGATTAAATATTTTTAATAGGGAAATATTACCAATTCTTAACATTTTAGGTTGCTATTTTAGAGAAAATATTGTTAAAATATTAGGATTCTCAAGAAATAATTTCGTATTTTTTTTTGACGGAATCAAGATTTGTTCATGTTTCATAAAAATTAGATTTGTTTGTCAACATCATAATCTACATTGTTATCATAGAGAAAATCTCATTAGAAATATAATTATCTTCTTTATTTGAAAGTACCTGGGCTCATTTTACTATATTACAACGAAGATTTAGTCCAGGTCTAAATTGTGATATTGCTGTTTCCAATTAACCTCACGTTAACGCAGAAAGAAGAAGATGTTAAATTACAAACGAACACACGCACACACACACACACACACATATATATATATATATATATATATATATATATATATATATAGAGAGAGAGAGAGAGAGAGAGAGAGTGAAAAGAGTTTCACTGGTTGACATATACCATGAAAGGTAGGTGAATACCGGTTCCATGGCCTGCACGTTCCTCCGTCCTCAATCCTTTGGATTTTCATCTGTGGGTCCACCTGAAACAATTGATTTATGCAGCAGACTATAATAATGCAGAGACGCTTCATCAACGTGTTATGGAGGCTTGCGAAACCATTTGACACCGTGTATTTGAAAGGGTACGCCAGACTGTGCTGCGTGTATAGAAATGAGTGGAGGACATTTTGAACATTTGTTATGAATTGATTTATTTAGGTACAACGATGGTCTTTTAGACATATGTTTATATGGACATTTTACCTTGTTTTGATTTCAGAAAACCGCCCTCAAAGTTTGTAAAAGTTTTTGTTGGATTATATTATGGATTGTACATTTAACAGCGTCTTTAAACTTAATAACCGAAAAACGAAAGATTTGCGTGCATTTCTTTATATGGACTTTTGTCCTTGTTTTGGTTTGAGGAACCCACTTAATATTTTGTAAAGTATTTTTGATACACTCTGCAAATATATATATATATATATATATATATATATATATATATATATATATATATATATGTATGTATGTATGTATATATATATATATATATATATATATATATATATAGAGAGAGAGAGAGAGAGAGAGAGCATTTAGATAGCAATAATTATTTCAAACAAGTTTTATTAAATTATACCTTGAAGCTACCTATGTTTAATTTCATGTTGTATATTTATGATTTTCGAATAAATTATGCATCTAAGTAAATGTTTTGGATAAATTGTTAAAAGATCAGGATTTGTTTTGTTTCTGATCGAGTACTTTTGGCCTTTCCAGTCATTATCAATCAGCGAAAACTTTTTAGGCATAAAGTCGCTTATATGATGAACTATATTTCAATTTGAATTGTAAAGTTTAAACAGGATATCGGCCAACATAATCTTGTCTACTATCATGACAATAGTCTGTTCATGATACTGAAAATTCCCGAATAAAAAATATGATCTTTGATTTGAGTACACAAACTATATGAACATTATATATATATATATATATATATATATATATATATATATATATATATATATATATATTTAAAAAGACTTAAACACTATCCTTACTCTGTCCGGGACATTGAGTTCTACCTGGATTCTATCCTCTTGGAATTATTTTTTTATACAAATATATATGTATGTTTATGTATGTATGTATATATATTTATATATTTTAGATATATGATTACATATGCATGTGTATATTTACCACTAATATTATCTATCTATCTATCTATCTCTCTCTCTCTCTATATATATATATATATATATATATATATATATATATATATATATATATATATATATATATATATATATATATATATATATATATATATATATATATATATATATATATATATATATATATATATATATATATATATATATATATATATATATATATATATATATATATATATATATATATATATATATATATATATATATATATATATATATATATATATATATATATATATATATATATATATATATATATATATATATATATATATATATATATATATATATATATATATATATATATATATATATATATATATATGTGTCTACATGTGTTTGTAGGAGAAAAGAAGAAAACATACACTTCTCCTGAAAGCCGTTCGTACCCCGAAATGTTCGTAAACCGAAAATATTTTTCCAATAGGATTCAATGTAGAGAAAAAAAAGTCATAGTACAATAAAATTGGAAAAGAAAAGCACGGTACAACACACGAATGTATACAATACGGCGGTCGACTAGCAAATTATTCTGTTCGTGTTAACTCGGTTCGGCTATGTTGTTCGAGAACCGAAATTCTGTACCATAACCGAGGCATTTTCATCTGGAATTTTCTGTTCAAAAACCGATTAATGCATGTAAATATCGTACAAGCCATTTTGCTGCACTTATTTAAAAAAAATAATTCTAGTAATATCTTGTCACACTGTCAAGAACGTTTTAAAGACTTTACACTTTTGTTAGAATGTAACTTGTCAAATCTTTGTAAAAAAAAAAAGTTGATAGGATCTAATGCATCTCTTTATTGGTTTTTCTTTTTTTTGTCTTTTGTAGAGCCGTTTGCTAAATCAACAGATGTTTGCACACTTTAACAGCTTCAGCAGCAGCGGTGGAACACAGAGCGGTGGGGCACAGAGCGGCGGAGCACAGAGCGGCGGAGCACAGAGTGGTGGGACACAGAGCGGCGGAGCACAGAGCGGTGGGGCACAGAGCGGCCGAAGCAGTAGCAGCTCCTTCGCCGAAGGCAACGCGTACATAACCCAAACTGGCAGAGCCGATTTCCAGACATCTGGTGGCAGCCGTTTTGCATCTTACTCTAGTGAGGGTCCCACCAGTACTTACCAATTTTCCCAAGGGTCTCGTAGAGACGACCAGAATGGTGGTACTGGTTTCACTAGCTACACAACCTCCAGCAAGTATACAAGCGGATACAGAAGGTTGTAGGCAACGAAGAAACAAAACAAAAATAACGTCAACATTATCAATCAGGTAGAAGAAGAAGAAGAAGAAGAATTAAC